GGACTGGGTCTCGCCGAACAAATGTTGGAAACAAAACAATACCAAAAGAACTTCCACGAAAAACAAAACAAGCACACAACATTTACGATTTCGGACAACCCGCGCCTCCCCGATCCCCAGAAGTTTTTTCGAAATCACCGTTGCTAATCATGTGTTTTCGATGGTTTTCCTTCTCCCCCCCTCCAGTCGGACTGGCGGGTCCCTACGACTCCTTGCGAAGCCCAGGGGTCTTTCGAGATCCTGTGGGATCCTTAATCCAGGTTCCTTACTACCGCTGTTCAAGTAAGGACTCCCTAGCACGGAGTCATGACCAACGAGTTCATAGCAAGGAACCTTTCCTGGAAAGCCTTCATAACGAGTCCTCATACCAAGTCCTTAATACGGAGCTTATCAGGGAATCTTTCGCACGTAATCCATAGTAAAGAGTCCTTCGGGACCCGTGCGAAGGATTTCTCAGTTGGGAACCCTGAACAGAACTGTTCCCTACGAGAGGCTCCCGACCATGGAATTTTCGACACCAAAAATGTATTACGTAACTTTGAGTGAGGAAATTGTGCCAAGGAAGCCTTACTGCGGTATCCGCAGTAAAGGGATCCTCCCTAAGAGATCTTTGCTAACGAATTCTGCTAGGGGAGCCGTTTGTAAGGATTCCTGAGTCGCGCCTCCTTAGTAACGTCCCCATTAGCAAGAAATCCTTGGCAAGGAGTTCTGAATAAGGGATCCTGTATAGAACATCCGTCGCAAGGAACCCTTTGGTAAGGGCTCCGGAGTAAGGAACATTAAGAAAGACCTCTTGTTACGTAATCTTCAATCCGTACGGGGGCTCCTTACTAGGGAGCCGTGACTACGGTTTCTTGATTAGGAACCTCTTACTGAAGAAGGATTGACAGCTACCCCTCGTTAAGGAACCCTTGGTAAGGAATTCTTGGTCCTTCGCAAGAAATCCCGCGCAGATGATCGTTCGTCAGAAAACCTTACTACATAATCCTCAGTAATATGTCCTACCTATGGAATCCGAACTATGGAATCCTAGCTAGAGAGCCCTTGCGAAGGATTCGTTAATCACAGACCCGCAATCAGAACTCTTAGTGGGGAGTCCTTAGTCTTGGGGTTCTTCAGAAGGGGTCCTGGCTAGGGAATCAAGTGAATCCTTAGCACGGGTTCCTTAATCTCGCCCCCTTGGTAAGAGAATCGTTGGTAAGGGATCCGTAAGAAAGAATTCTTCGTAAGGACTCCGTGCAAGAAAACCATATGTAAGGAGTCCGGGTTAAGGATTCCAGAGTGCAGCGCCCTCAGTGAGGAGTCCTTATTCAGAAAACGACAATAACGCATCCAGATTGTGGAATTCTTGGCAAGGAACCTTGGGTACGGTTTCCGCACTCGGGAATCCTTGCTGAGGGGTCCTCTTGTCGTACATCCGCCTTCAGGAACTCTTAGTCAGGAATCCTGGTTAACAAGGGGTCCTTAGTAAGGAGTCTTATGTGATGGATCCGTCGTCGGCAAAACGGAGTTTGGATTCCTTACTGGGGGGTCGTTAGCAATGTGGTTGTCGGAGGTGAGGGGGTGAGATCGAAGTGGAACGGAGAGCCCCCCTACCGGGAAATCGATTTCGGTTTCGTGTTCGTGCGTGCCGTGCGTGCGGGCGAGGCGAAGCTGCGTGGGCGGGCGAGAGAAAGTCTCCTGCGGCTGAGGCGCGGCCGGACCAAAGGTCTCCCTTCCGGGCGGCCGTGGGCCCGCGGTGTCCCGCCGGTGTCCCGCTGGTGTCCCGTGTGGCTGAGGCGCGGCCGGACCAAATGTCTCCCTTCCGGGCGGCCGGGGCCCCGCGGTGTCCCGCCGGTGCCCCGTCGGTGTCCCGATTATGGTGATGATATCGATGATGATGATGGTGATGATGATGATGACGATGTTGATGTTTTGTTTTGATGATCGATAGTGAGATCGGTAGTGATATCGATTGTGAGATCGAATGTCAGATCGCTTGTGAGATCGATTGTGAGATCGATTGTGATACCGAATGTGAGATCGATAATGAGATCGATAGTGAGATCGATTTTGAGACCGAATGTGAGATCGATTGTGGAATCTATTGTGAGATCGATAGTCAGATCGATTGTGAGATCGATCGATTGAGTTAGTAGTGAGATCACTATCGGTAATGAGATCGGTAGTGATTTCGATAGTGAGATCGATGATGAGGCCGAATGCGAGATCGATTGTGAGTTCGGTTGTGATATCGATAGTGAGATCGATAGTGAGATCGATAATGAGATCGAACGTGAGTTCGATAGAGAGATCGATAGTGAGGCCGAATGCGAGATCGATTGTGATATCGATTGTGATACCGATAGTGAGATCGATAGTGAGACCGAATGTGAGATCGATAATGAGATCGATAGTGAGTTTGATAGTGAGATCGATAGTCAGATCGAATGCGAGATCGATTGTGATATCGATTGTGAGATCAATAGCGAGACCGAATGTGAGATCGATTGTGGGATCGATTGTGAGATTGATTGTGAGATCGATAGTCAGATCGATTGTGAGATCTATCGAGTGAGATCGATTGTGAGATCGGTAGTGAGTTAGTAGTGAGATCAATCGAGTGCGACGTTGGTCCCTCACCCCCCTCACCTCCTTATCACCCGAAGGGTGGTCTATGCGGTAATGCTGGATTTTGTTCGGGGGTCCTTAGTTACGAAAGCAGAAGTAACGAATCCAGACTGGATAATCTCTAGTAATGAACCCTGAGTAAGGCTTCCGTACTCGGGAGTCGTTGCAGAGGAGTCCTTGATCGTTAATCCGTATTGAGAAGCCTTTGGTGAGGAATTCTATTTTAAAGGGTCCTCAGTAAGGAATCTTGCGTAATGGATCCTTCGTAAGGAAACCTGAGAAAAGGCGACCTTACTAGGGCATCTCTAGTAATGGGCCCGTATTAAGTAATATTTGTGCGGGAATTCTTTGTCAGAGATTATTTGGGAAATGGGTATTACATGAGGAGGCTTTTCATCGCACACGCCGAAGCCGCCCAGACCTGCATCGTGCCTGGTGCGGGACCAGGAGGAGGATGAGGAGTACGTAGGAGGAGGAGGAGGAGGAGGAGAAGGAGGAACACGAGGAGGAGGAGAAGGAGGCGGAGGAGGAGGATAATGATGGGAAAAGAAAGTGGAGGTCGGAACGCGATATAAGGAGGATGGCTAACGGGGAGGAAGAGAGGGATGAGGAACCAGGAGGAACACGACGACAAGGAGGGCTGAGGAAGGATGATGATGAGTTAAAGGAGGAGGAGGAGGAGGCACGACGATGATGCCGACAACGAAGACATGATGGGAAGGAGGAGGAGGAGGAGGGACGACAGATGCGGAAGGAGGCCGACGACGGCGACGACGAGGAACGAGGACGACGACGACGATGACGAGGAACGAGGAACGATGACGACGACCACAAGGACGACGACGACGAGGAGTGATGAACGACGACGACGAGGAGGGAGGAGGAGGAGGAGGAGGAGGAGGAGGAGGAGGAGGGTGGAGGAGGAGGAGGAGGAGGAGGAGGACGGGGAGGAGGAGGAGGAAGCGGAGGAGGCAGAGGACGACGACGAAGGAGGAGTAGGCAAGGGGCAGGCATTTTGAGGTGCTTGCGGGCACGCTGTGGCGCTGGCATTGCATTGTGGTGCGCCTGTCTGGTTTAATGTCGCGCAGACGGTCAGGAACTTTGGCTTAGCGTGTTGCGCCGCTGGTTCTGGCCCACCGCACTTCAGAACGACACGCTATCCGGTTCCCCATTTCCAGCAAGCGTCAACGTCCGAACTGTTCCCGGCCTCTCACAACGCGGGGCGGAGCGACGCGCTATTTGCTTGCAAGGCATGGCGTGTGGCAGGGCCGCCGCCGCGACACGCGAAGCGCACACTCCCGACCGTGATGTGATGGTCGCGGGCTGCTGCGATGCTGGCGTGTGCCAGCTTCACTCGCCGTGCGGCGGTTTCAGACACGTGCGCGGTGCCCACAGGCACGCCGCGGTGCTCGCAGGCCGTCGTGGTGCTCGCGGGCGCGCGGTAGTGCGCACAGCTCTGAGGAATCAGGGAAAACACACAATGGTTGTCCGTGTATTTGAGGCGCGCGGGTGGTTCTTGGTGCGGGCAGGCCTCCGGTGTGCACGTGCGTGCGTTTGCCCGGGTGTGTGCGTGGGTGTATGCCTGCGCCTGTGCGTCTGTATGCGTGTACAGCCATACACATTGTCCATTTCCATTTCTTCGAAAGTTCTTTGAGTTTTTGGGGGGGCCAGGATCCTTTCATTTCTAGTTCTTCTGTCCTCGGCCTCTTCCTGGCCACCAGGGGGCCAGGAGCAATTAGAAACGAGCACAATTAGAAATGAGCACGATTAGAAATGAACGACGTGCACTCGTGCTCTCGCTTCCATGTTAGCCCCTGCCCAAACCCACACAGGCGTGGCCGTTACCTGCGACCCTCCCCCCCGCGTCACGACCGTTGCGCGCGATACTGAAAGAACAACGTCCAGGTTCGATTTGCATGGTTCAGGGCCTCTTCGCCCAAGGGCCCCACGTCCCCGAGATCGGGCGTCGCGAAGAAATGCAACATCGCAGAAATCACGACCAGAGCTTTCGAACCAGTGTTTCTGCAGCACCTTTCGAGGTGAACCGATGCGCGAGGGGCCTGTCTCCCTAGAGGATGGGCCGAAACGCTGGTCGTGACAAAAAGCACGGCGCCTGGATTTGAGGGATCTCAGGGCCCGATCCTTGACTCACTAATTTGGAACAGCCGCCTAGTCCCGAAAAACCCGAGCGCCAGAGCAAAACGCAGGCTCCTAGCCATTTTTGGGATGGAGATTTCGGGGAAGGGCTTTTGCTGGGGGCAGCGAACGCAAACCATACCCCGAAATCTTTTCCCGATTCCTTCGTCTGGGACAACATGCGATTATGGCATAGTTTCTCATGGTCCTCTCTCTCTCTCTCTCACAGTCTTTACATCAACGATTGCTGGAAGGTCCCCGAGACGCCCGAGGTCGAGGACAACTTGCACCCCGCCGCTGCCGCCAGGACTCCTTGCTGGAATGTCCCCGAGACGCCCGAAGTCAAGGACAACTTGCACCCCGCCGATGCCGCCAGGACTCCAGGGCTCGGGGCTCTTTGCCTCTCCTTCGGCCCGTCTTCGCGAGCAGGTGGGAAGGTTTCTCCTCCTGGCCCTCCTGATCCTCCTCCTCCCGCGCTGCGCAGCGCTGCAGGCGTTGGTGTCCTTAGGACGCTGCCACGTACCCCCACCCCGGGGGGCGGTCGCCCCTACGAGGGAGCGATCTCGAAGAAGAATTCACAAGGATAGACTTTCGGAGACCCGCGTGAATTTCTCGGATCTGCCCTGGACCCCCCTGGCATTGCCTCTGGCGCCGCTCCTGGCGCGCTACGCGCGCCAGGGAAGAGGGTGCAGTGCCGATCCGCGAAATCCCCGCCGGCTCCGAAAGTTTATGTTTTATGCAGTTTTTTCCTTGCCCACTCCTCCTGATCCTCCCGATCCTCCCAATCCTCCTCCTCCTCCTCCTCCTCCTCCTCCTCCTCCTCCTCCTCCTCCTATTCCTGATTCTCCACCAGGCCGGCGCCTGCCCTCCCTCCCAGCCTTTTTTGCGGCAGAGCTTTGGAGCTGCCACCGCCGTCAAGGAAAGGGGGCCCAGAGGGAAGGGGCCCCTGGCGGCTTTTTCTGTCCGTCTTCGGGCTCCCGGGGCCCCCATCCAGGCCCCGCGGGGGCTCTTCGGGGCGCTCCTGGCGGGGGTCAGCGCTCACCCGGGGTCCTTTCCCCTCCTCCCACGTCGGGAGCCTCGAGACGGGGGTCAATGCAAACGGGGGTCAGCCAGGGCGCCAGATCCTGCAGGATCCTGCGAAGACCCCCTCTGGCTGACCCGGGTTAGGGAGCCGCTCGTGGCCGCGAGGCGGCCGCGCGTATTGGCTGACCCGGGTCTGCGAGGACCTGCGGTGCAGTTTTTTTTCCTGCATTGGGCTCACCCGCGTCCTTTCACCTCCTCCCACGTGGGCGACGAAGAAAATCAGGCTCCTCTTCACCGACATCGGCGCGCAAGCCGGCCGCGGAAGGTCGCGCGTGAGCGCCCTCGTTTCCAGCGCAGCGCGCCGCGCCGGCGGCCCGCGCAAGCCGCCGCGTAAGGTCGCTATGTCACATCGCGTAATCTTCAGGGGCGCAACGATGGGGGGTATCTTGGCATCGCTGGGACGTGTGCATTTTTCTTTCGGCGAGGACCATCGAGGAACATCCTTGATCATTTGGCGAAAAAAAAACCACGCGCGGAACCGAAAGAAAGCACAGGGAATGGACGGCCGAGCGATGGCGAGGGATAGGCATAGGTAAGGGAAGAAACAACTGAATAAACATAATGTTTCGACGGTCCGCGCGAGTTTCTTGGACCTACGCTGGACCTGCGCTGGGTGCGCCGCCAGGGAGGCCCAGCGCCGATCCGAGAGATCCTCGCGGAGCTCTGAAAGTTTATGCTCATGGTGGCTTTTCCTTTCTCGATGGGGAGGATGCATCGACCCCCATTCGCCGTCGCCGGTAGATGTTTGATGGTCCCACCCCGCCAAGGCACGTGCGGACTTGCTGTCGGGGGCCTATCGCCCATCTATCGGCGGTGTCGCCGATTCCAGCTTGACGTTGTCCCACCTGAGCTGGTCCCCCCCCCATCGTTCGGGGGTTGCTGGAGGTGCCCCCCTGGCCAAAGGTGCTCCCAGCTCTTCGCTCCGTTCTGGAGCCCCTGGGCCCTCTGGGCCTCGTGAGGGGGGGGTGCTCTGGAGGCCGTGGGGGCCTCCCCGGAGATCCTGGGGGCACCCTGGAAATCCTGGGGGCATTTCTGGCAACACCCCAACGATTGCTCCTCGTGCCCGGCCGCCGCCCCTGTGGAGCCCCGTCCTCCCCGGGCTGCCTTCCGCTGGCCAGGGCCTGAGAGCAGAGCTGGGCGGCAGGCGGGGGCACATACCGGCAGGGCCCCGGGCCCGACCCCATGGGCTGGCGCCGGCCTGGGCCGGCGCGTCGTACGGGAGCTGAGGAACGAACAAGACACACGCACGCACACACACACACACACCCATACCCATAGGTCGGAAGAGGGAAAGGTACCTATATGCCGCTGCCCTGCCCTCGCTTTCCCCTTTGGGGCCTCCTCGGAGGCCCTCGTCGCCACTGCCGGATTCGCCTCGAAATTCCTTTCAGAACGGACCCCGGGAGAGGGCTGGGGAGTAGCGGTATGGGTACCTTTTGGTGTCCCCAAGAGGGGGGATTTCGGTACATCGCAAATCATGGGAGCCTCGTGCACCGTCGTAACTACGTTTTTAGAATGCATTCGTAGCGTCAGTCAGCGGTAATCGATGGGATAGCGCCGATTTAGCGGCGATTTAGCGTCGAGTAGCGTCGATTGGCGTCGGTTAGCCCCGATTTAGCGTCGATCGTCGTCGGCTAGCGTCGAGCAGCGTCGATCCGCAAGAGCCAGCAAGATGGTATGGGAGGCTCTCATGAGTCGCCACCGAGCACCCATACCCACAGGGGGACGGAGGGGGCTACGGAATGTTCGTGTCGTGTCGACGCGGCGGCGACCCGCCCTCGGCCGTGCAGGGTTCAACGCCGCCACTGGCCCAGAATCGGCCAAGATGGATCGATGTGGCGATCAGACAGCCGATCATTCAAGGTCGAATGATCCACGCGGTGTCAGCAGCCAACGCTGGGGTCGTCACAACACGAACCTACCGTACGGTTGCATGTTGCCGGCCCCCAGAACCCGCACCCATGCCCATAGCCAGTCTCTCTCCTTCCGACCCCCCCATGGGTATAGGGTATGGGTGTGCGTGTATGTGTTGTTCGTTCGTCAAGGGAGACGGTCATAAGACGATCCAGGATGAAGAGTTTGTCGGGGAGAGAGCCCCGAGATCCTGGACACGCTTCCCTCAGGACCGATTCGCCTTCATGCCGGGGCGAGCACATCCGCGGACGATCGTGTGAACCTAGGATCGGCTGCGGTGCACAGTTTCTCGGCCTTCACAGTGGCGACAAGCGTTGCATCGTGGCGCGCTGGAGCAGGGCCGGAGGGGAGTCCAAGCAGGGCTGCGGTACATGCGCGCCGTTCTCGCAGAACGCTCATCTGTCCCGTGCTCCTCCCCGGCCCCAGCCCATCCCCTCCTTCGAGCGAGCTGAAGAGATCGGGGGGGTGCCCCCAGGACTCCCAAGGCCAGTGCCCGCCAGCGAGGACGGATAGACCGTTCCAGAGCGTTCTGGAATGCTCCGAGGGGGTCACGGCGCCCGACGCATCCTGCCGAACCGCCGGATCTCAGTGATGCCCGATTAATCACCGTCCGATTTTGTTCCCGTCCTAGCTTCGTCTTAGCTCCGTCTCGCGGTGGCGCGTCGTCGACGGGCGTGGCAAGGCTCCAAAAGGTGTCTGACACTCCCCCTCCTCACGAGCCTCACCCTCCTGGTCCTTCTGATCTTCTGATCGTCCCTCTCCTCCTCCTTCTCCTCCTCCTCCTTCTCCCGACCCTCCTCCTCCTCCTCCTCCTCCTCCTCCTCCTCCTCCTCCTCCTGACCCTCCCTCGTCCTTGGAGGGGGTCGCCCGTGGCGCTTCCAGCTAGAGGCCGGTGGGAGCCGGCGGGAGTAGGGGCGGCGGGCCGGGAGGCCAGCGGGTTGGCGGCGGGGAGAGCAGGCGTGCGGCGTCGGCACTGGCGGGTCCTGCACGTCGACGGTGCTGGTGATATCGGCTGGGGGCGTTTTTTGTCCAAGGTCCGGTTTCTTTGTTCACGGCTGAGGCCTTGGCCTCAGAGGAAGCAGCTCTCGCGCTTCGCCGAACCGTTCGCATGCTGCCGTCGGTAGCCGACTGAGGCTCTGTCGCACACAGACTTCGGCATGGCTGGAGTCAGGTCTTCAAATAGAGTCGGCCACGCATGCTCCCACGCTCATCGATCGGCGAAGTTTCGAGGTCTGAGGTTTCGGGACGTTTTCGTAGGTCCTCCACGGCTCTCCAGCCTCGGGGTGCTTTCCAGCGGATGCGCCTCGCCGAGACCTTCCCAGGGGTCACCAGATCGTCCCGAACGGCCGCCTGAGGCCCGATGACCTGGCGTCATCGTACGGTTTTGGGACTCGAGTCGTTCTCCGAGGACATTCCGGGCGACTGGAGCCTCCAAAGTCCCAGAACCGTGCGGTGACAGGCTGCGCGGTGAGGTCGCTTGGGATTCCGAGGTCACCACGCGGTCCGTCACCACACGGTTCAGTGCCCCGAAACTGAAGAACAACAATCGGCATAAACATTTTTTGTTTTGAGGACCGCACTGATTTCTAGGATCGGCGCTGCCCCTTAGGCGGCGCCTCCCAGAGATTATGCTTGTACATGTTTCGCCCCTTGTTCTAATATGGGTTTCTTGCTATCACTCAGGCGCCTCTGGACCTCCTCCCTTCACAGCTCACACCCTCCTCCTCAGGCTCACTCACTCATATTCAGATTCGCTCCATACTCAGACTCACTCACACTCAGACCCACGCATCACTCGCAGTCGTACTCAGTCAAAGTTTATTAATGCACCCACACTCAGACACTCATATTCAGGTACGCTCATACTCAGACCCACTCTTCCTCCTTCAGACTCATTACATCACTTCCTCATTCAGGTTCACTCATATTCAGAACCACACACACAGACCGTGAGGATGTCTCAGGCGAGGTGCTTAGTTCCAGCACTCCCAGGGGTGCGTCGCCAGGGGTGGGCACACTCCAGGGTTTGCGTCCAGATTGCGGGGACATCTCAGGCGGTTTGCGCGTTTGGGTGCACAACTTCCTTTGTCTTCGGAGCAGATTGTGAGGATGTCTCAGGTGAGGCGCTGGTTTTAACACTCAAGCAAGAGTTACTACCTGCACTTATTTATTCCATGATCGTGTATTCAGCGAGACGCCGACAATACTTTTTAGATGTACGTCTTGGGTTATCACGAATGAGCTGGAGAACCCGCTGCGACGAGCACAACGTCAAATGATGCGGATGGTTTTGAATGCTCTTCGACGGCGGCAGTAAGCCGCAGCCGGAGAACATTCAACCAGACCAGGTTGCCAAGGCAATGCCCAACATCAGCGACA